AGCCTCGAGTCAGTTACACCGGTTCCACAAGAATAGTTGGACGTGCTCATGCCTCTTCATGGCGACGCGCTTACTTCCTTGCCGGCATGTGTTCTTCATACGGAAAGACATGAAGATGGAATCTGTAATCGCGACTCAATTGCTAAACGAGCGGTGGCTACTAACTACGGTCCGATCCGCTGTCAACCCTGGGCTGAACGTCCTCGTGCCCAAGTTTGCCATTGTATCTGCCCCTGAAGACGCGAGCTCCACATGGGACTCTAACCGAAAATATCGGGAGGCAAACTTGATAGCTAGCTCTATCAGTGACACAATGGCCATGAAGGACTACCAGCTTGCAATGAAGTTTCTCCAATCGGTGTCTCGTATCATAAAGCACAAGGAGTTTGAGAGGCTTCTTCAAACCGAAACGGAACGACCTACCATCCTGGTTTCAAAGACCACAGGTGCGGGTGACGATGTGGATGATTGTGGCGACTGTGAGTTTGGTCAAGCTGGTATTGAGCATACCGAAGAGAGCTTGCTTGCCGTGGGCGATCATTGCAGTAAGACTAGGACCTCCTGTGTCACAGAGGAGGCCAACACTCACGATCTAGCCGACATATGCCCAACTGTGCCCCAACCAAGACCAACTTTGTCCGAATCAAGACCAACCGTGCCCGAAGCAGGACCGATTGTGCCCGATTTAAGGTTGATCATCCCCGAGCAAGCTGCGAGTGTATCGAAACCGACTGCCCCGAAAACAAGTGCATGTATCCAAGAACCAAGTGAACCGGAGCCACCTACAACCGCGGTTAATATGAGACCAACTGTGCCTGAACCGAGACCGATTGTGCCCGAACATAGCATTTCTGCACTATCAAAACCAGTCAATGAAGCACCATCAGTAGCTCAAGTCAGTGAAGGAGATCAACAGGTGACTACATCCAGATTATCTACAGTTGATATTGAAGACAGAGATGTGGAGTTCGAAATTGCGAGTCCAGTGCGTCAACATGGGAGACCTAAAGTCACGCCAAAAGCAAAGAAAGCAAACCGAAACAGGCTGATTCGGAGTGTAGAGGCAGATTCAACGCTGTTTGACTTGCAAATAAGATTGCGGTCTGTTCGCGAAAGCCTTTCCACGAACGCTACGTATTCATCCTCCGCTGAACTTGCTCGACGACTACAAGTGTATACATTTGGGACTAAGCCTAAACCCCCAGTGGCCCGACAGACGAGCAAACTCCCTGCAGGCAATACGCTGACAGACTCAAGTTTGCTGACTCGAGTGCTTTCCAAAGACATACTCAGAAAGTGTGACGCGAAGGTTTCCGCGCTTCAACGCAAAACGTCTGGATTATCGGAGAGAGACGTATCGGTCGAGATTATTAGTCTGGGTGTGTTCTCAACAACGACATTACGAATGATGAAAGGTTGGCATCACGCAATTACAATCTTCGACTCTATTGACAAAACGCTGAACTGGATCAGCCGAATCGACTTCACCCAGCCGCTTAGCCCGGACTTACACTATTGAAGCAGACCATGAGATACCAAGCAAGCTTAAGCAGCTACAGATTCGCTCTGACTCGGTACGTCATCTTGTCACTGTACTACCTCAAAATAAGGCTAGTGAGACTAACATTGGAGCACAGATACATCTACTAGACCTTGCTGCCAGAGGGTCACTCGGGGACGAGTGCATGTATGCGGTGATGAACGTGATGTTTGCGTCCACACCAGGGGTGGTCACCATTGATTCGAGCCACGTCGGTGTAGTTGTCAACGGGAAAAACACTACAGACATGGAGGGCCTTGCGTCTCTTTTCGCCGGGGTTTCGGACGAAAAGGTGCTCGTTCCCATCAATTGTAATGGAAATCATTGGTGCGCTATCATGATCGACCTATCGACCGAAAGCATATACACTTACGACCCGATGTCATCATCCTATGCGGCCAGCGTCCGAGCTATCGCGCACAAATTGGTGGGGGTCCTACCGATACCGAAGGATAGGTATCATCACCAGTCGTACGTATCGAGCATTGGTATCCAGACCGACAACTACAATTGTGGCATTTACGTTCTCTTGGCATTCGAAGCCTTTACGGGAGCTTCTGACGTGGGATATGTGAACAAGCAAAGGTTGCAGCTTCTACGATACCGGTACCTCTGTATGTCTGTGTAAGTTTCTTCGGCATAATATGAGACTTTACATTTCTGATGCATTTTACTCTGACACTGCCTGGGATGTCATTGAACTTGGCTACACTTCACTGAACTATTTATCCAGCTATACATGATTCGCATGTATACATCGAATGCCCCCATTCGGGTAGCTCGGACACATTCGGGCGCACTCGGGTGTGTGCAAATCCTAAAGCATGTTGCCATTCGGGTGATATAACGACTGCCTTTCTTTTAAGCTTACTGAAGAACTCACAATATTTTTATCTTCAAGTTTCAAATAAAATTATGTTGTAGAACCAGGTTACTTTCCAAAGAAAAACGGGGCTATCATTGTACCCCCTTTCGTACCCCTTAACTACGAACCACCCAAAAACGTTGCTGCAGCCATGGCGTTCAAGAAAGGCGGCGGCAAGAAGGTCTCTGTCAAGAAGCAGAAGCACGGCTTCGTGCGCGCCAGCAGCTCCAAAGGCAGCAATCCATTCGACGTGCGTGGCAATGCCAGCAAGCAAAAGCACGAGGTTATCGGACGTCGCGTCAAAGGCGCAGGCCGTAATGTAGCAGCAGCACGCGCCGAGGCCGAGCGTAAGCGCCGTAAGACACTAGGTGCCGAGTTTAATGCTCGTAACAAGAGCAACGTGTTCAAAGACAAGCGTCTGGGCGAACAGGACCCCACATTGTCCATGGAGGACAAAATGATGGCACGTTTCCAGACCGAACGCAAGCGCAAGCTGCGCAACGCGTCCGCCTTTGCGCTACACGACTCCGACTCGGAGCAAGATGACGACGACGCGCTGTTTCTAACGCATAAAGGCGCCAAGATCACCGACGACGACTATGACCAGCTCAATGCCGACGGCCCATTAGACGACGAGGACGACTCAGCGGAAGGCAGGAAGATGGACAGAGACATCGTCAACCAGCTCCACTTCGGAGGTGGCAAAGGAGATAACGACGAGGGAGATGGCAAGAGAAAGACGCATAAAGAGGTGATGCATGAGGTGATGATGAAGGCCAAACTGTACAAGGCGGAGCGTCAGAAGAACAAGAGCTCGCAGGAGGATGCGACCGATAAATTGGACGAGGGCTTCGCAGATGTCCGTGGGCTGCTGGAATTCCGTCCCACACGTGCGAATGGCAAGGAATTGTTGCCGAAAGAGCCCATGGATGACTTTGACAAGCTCACGCGAGAGTTTGCCTTTGAGGCTAAAGCCAAGGCCACGGAGCGTCGCATGTCGCCGGAAGAAGCTGCTGCAAAGGAGCGCGATCGACTGGCAGAGCTGGAAAAGAAGCGTGTGGCGCGTATGAATGGCGCAGATGAAGAGAGTGACAGTGACAGTGACGGGAAGCGGAAGAAAGGCAAGAAGAGCAAGAAAAAGACCCCGCAGCTGATCATGATGCCGCCTACCGATGACGATCTCACAGATGGCTACGCCGTGGATGAGCGTTTTGCCGCTGAAGAGGCTGAAGAGGAAGACAACGACGAAGAGGAGAGTGACGAGGAATCAGAATCTGATTCTGAGGCGGAATCAGATGATGACAAGGAAGAGAAGAAAGAAGAAGAACCGGAAGAAGACAAGGACGAGGACAGTGACGACGAATCGGACAAACTGAAGCGCCAACAGGACGCCGAGGAGGCTGCTGCTGAGCTTCCGTTCGTGTTTGAATGTCCCGAATCTCCTGAAGAGCTGGCGTCGCTGTTTAAGCAACACGCACGTAACTCTCCTGAGAAGCGAGGCCTTATCTTGGAGCGTATCGTGACGTACTACAACCCGCGCCTTAGTGTGGAGAACAAGAACAAGATGAAGCGCTTCTTCGCCGTCCTAGTGCGTCAGCTCCTCATCTTCGCGGCGCGATACGCCGGACACAAGCACGATGTACGTCAATACTTTGCGTGGTTGCTTTTTTTTGTAATTTTTAACCGTATCATTTGCAGTTGGACGCGCTAGCCAAGAACATGTACACTTTGGCTCAACAGATGGGCGATACGGCGGGTATTGTGGTGCGGGAGCTGCTAGCTCAGCTCTTTAAGCGGCTGCACAAGCGTGCGTCGACGTCTGCGTGGCCCACACTACCGGAGTTGCTTCTGTTCAAGGCCCTAACGTCAGTTTTCCCCACGTCGGACTTACGACACAACGTGGTGTCTCCTATGGAGACGTTACTGGGCGAGAGCTTGGCTCGTGGCTCTGTCACTTCGCCACAAGAGGCTACGCAAGCGCTGTTTACGGCGTCGTTGTCTCTGGATATGACACGCGGTAAGGAACGCTTCATGCCTGAAGTCGTGAGCTTCCTGACGCGTATTCTACGTGCCTTTGTGACGTCAAGTGACGAGAACTCAACGCACTGGCTACGTCGCGACTTGTTGGAGTGGGTAGCAGCTCAAAAGGAGGGCAAGATGCCTGCTCTACCACGTCTGTCATTGGCTGGAAGCTCGTCTTGCAACGGTGTTCAAGTGTTGAGCGCTCTACTGGCTCTACTGGACGCTGCGTCGGCTCAGTACGCGTCGTTGCCGTCCTTTGACGAGCTTTTCTACCCGCTCTACCTGTTGTTGCATGCAATTGTGAAGCAACTGGAGAACAATAAAGTATCGGAGGTCAACGCTGTGATCTCCAAGCTTCATACTCGTCTCGAGGCTTGCTGGGACGCTCGTCGCCCGCTCCGACTGCAGAGTTTTGCACCTTCGACGTTGCCGACGTTTGCGCCACACTTTGATGAGAATTACACGGTGCGTAAGGACAAGACGGCGCCGAAGGACACTGCGCAACTTAAGCAGCTGCAACGCCAAGTCAAACGTGCCCGCAAGGGAGCTGCGCGTGAACTTCGTCGTGACGCTGAGTTTATCCACCGCGAGAAGCAAAAGGAAGAAGAGGCGCGTCTGGCTGCCAAGGAGGAGAAACAGAAGGAGATCCGTCGCTGGCTTGAGGAACAGAACGCCACGTTCAACCAGCAAGTGCGCAAGGGCGGCAACATGCTCAAGGGCGGAGGCTCCGCTCGTGGACCTGCTCCTCGAGCGCGTACCCCCAGGAAGTAGGCTGCACCACTGTTGCATTTGCATTTCCAATAGAAAAGTTGCATTTTCACTGTCTAATCAGTTGCGTCAGAGTGATTGTCATGGCAATTATCAAGAGGCCAACATTTGGCCAACATGAGAGCAAGATTTCATGTGAAAAATATGTATCTCCGTCTACTCCCTACACTTAAGCTGCCTTTATCCTGTGCTGGTGTCTACTCGCGGTCCTTCTTGGGCACATTCTTCTTGGTGTACTGACGAGTAGGCGGCATGGGCAGCACGTTAGCAAGACCCAGAAGGTGTGCCACACGGTCGGAAGGCTGTGCACCCACTGACATCCAGTAGCGCACACGCTGACTGTTCACACGAAGTTCCTTCACACCATCGCCAGCAGCAATTGGGTTGAACGTCCCAAGCTGTTTAAAGTGGCAAGTTGCAATTGTCAGAAACTTTGCTGCTTTTTGTGGTAAATGAATGAATAATAGCGAAAGATGACGCAACCCAAACGTACGATCTCCAGGTGCTTGCCATCGCGCGGAGCACGAGCGTCTGCCGCCACGATGCGGTAGAAAGGCAGATCCTTACGTCCCCAGCGGGCCAGGCGCAGTCTCACCACCATGTTCGTCCGAGCTTTAGCTTGTTGCACGAGTGAGTGGCAGCCGCACAATAGGAAACCTTTATGTGGTGGACTTAATATGATGTAGATACATTAAAATCAATTGTGACTTTATTCTTCAGATTAGTGACAAAGCGCGAAAGAACGGCAACCCACGTGGTGACATGCTGTCAGTGAATCTCTGAGTCTGTTCCTGCTGGATTTTTCTGCCTGATGTAGGTGTCTGTGTCTGATATTGTAATTCATGTCCACTCTCGTGGCTTCACCTACTGGAGTTAACTTCATTGAGCACCTTCAGTTCTAGGCTTTGGCTATAAACGTCTTAAAATCCGCCTCCTTCTCAATAAAAGCTTTTATCTTCTCCAGTAGATCATCCTTGACCTCCTTAGGCACCGAAGCTATCCTCCATACAATGATGACAAACAAGCAATTTTTCTCAATATCTCACCCAATTCCCATCCCCGCTTAACAGCCGCACCTCTTCCTTTGGGTGTAATTTCCTCGATCAGATCTTCCACAGTCACTTGATCGATGCCCTTATTCCGGATCACATCTACGTGTCCGTTAAGCAGCGTTATCAGCAACTACACACTTCAAGATCCCGCAACTACTGAGCCAACCTTTGCAGTGCAGCTTCATCTCATCGCGCCAGCCGCACTCGACCAGCTTATGTCGCAGCAGCTCCTTTAGTCGCTCCTTCTCGCCGCTCTGTACCAGACGCTCACTGATGCGTGCCTTGGCCTCCTCATCCAGCCTCTGGCGGTCCGCGTGTGTCCTTCAATCGGAGATAAAGGCGCCGAAACGATCAGTGAACGAGCAACAAGCACGACGCCGCGATAACGTACTCTTCCATCCTTGGTCAGCGTAGTGGCTGAAAAAGTTGATCGGCTTTTCCACCAATAGTCCGACCTGCTTCACAGTACCCTCTTCAATTGGTTAAAATCCTCGTCACCCGAAGCTCGGTCTGGCTCCATGCGTTCGGACCAATTGCGTCACATCGTGGGTCTCTCTGCCTGCGTAAAGCCAGGACGTGCCAAGAGTGTCCGGTCGTGACAGTACCATCGGGGAGCGCAAGTGACTCGGTTGAGGCAAGCCAACACTCTGTTCGTCCGCTTGTTGCGCGCGACTCGGCAGAAGATAAAGGAAGGCAAGAGGCAAAGGCAACCGTCGTGTCGTCGCTCGTGCCGTGGCTTTCCGTTTCCCCCCTCATTGCCGACGCAACAATCGAGGGCAAGGGTTTCGTTCGCACTCGCCACTGCAACTTTCGCCCCAGTCCCGGCAACAGTAAGAACAGCTCGAGCGACAGCATGGAACAGGCGCTGCAGCTCCCGAGACTCCACCTCGACACGTTCGTGGCGCAGCCCAAGTTCCTGGACCCCATCGACCCGCCCACGGTGCCATTTCCCCCTCCGACATGGTAAGTAGGAGACACTTTTCCTCTCATCTCCCACGAATTTTTCCGCTTCAGTTGGACTCAAAATGTTTCATATTTTACTGTTGCCACAGGTGTTTACACAAACCACCAAGAACAATTTCGTTGCTAGACGTGTATAAAGACCACGTGCTCATTGCCACGGTGAGGAAATGCAACTGAGTCCGTTTGAGTTTATAATTAAAAGCTAATAGGTTATTTATTTGTTACAGCACACGGTGGACCAGAAAGCGTTTTATCTTATTGGACGGAACGCAGCGGTGTGTGATCTCGTACTTAGTCACTGCTCCATCTCGAGACTCCATGCGACCATGGTACACCATGAGAAAGGCGCGACGTACCTGGTGGACCTTGGATCTGCTCACGGAACGTTCGTGGACGGTTTAAGACTGACAGCGCTGCAGCCGACTCTCGTGGCGCATGGTTCGGTGCTGAAATTTGGGGCATCTTCTCGTTCGTACACGTTCAAAGTAAGTATTATATTTTTTTATTTCTTATCATGAATACTTTTTTCACTAATTTTTAAAAAAATTTGTAGTCGTTTGATTCTCGTGAGCAAATTGAAGAAATTATCAGCAACCGCGTGGGGTTGCCACCTGACGAGATGCAACTGCAACAGAACACGATGCTTAACTCTCAGATTACGCATCGCTTGGAGCTCTCGCCAACACGACGCAGTATGCCTCCCATGTTCCCAATGGCGCCAATCTGTCAGGTCCCCGAACTCCATGCACCTGATCAGGATGCACCCATGTTGATGGCTCCAGAGTGTGATCGGAGAGGAAGTGCGGACGGCGTTCAGCTGCTGGGACTTGCAGGTATTGGACCAGTACGGAAGCGTTCGCGTGGACAATCAGGCAACTCGCAGGCTTCCGGCTCGTCCGACCAAAGTGGCAGCACGGCGGACCTCAGTGTGTACTGTGACGATCCCACGGATGAGCAACAGGGCGAGCCCAAACGTGTTCACTTTTGTGGCCAACCACCTGAGATTATTCCGGATCAAGAAGAAACAGACATGGAGGACCCGAACTCAGACGCTGTGAGGGTCCGTGAGGACCTTCGGAGGACAGAATTGGCCAATAGCGATTGAATCTCGAAGCCTGTCTCGGATAGAGCGCAGGAAACGATACAAAGACCAAGTGCGATGAAACGCAAACGCTCGGGAACTTGTGACGCGCCCAGGAAGGCGCAACGTGTGAGTGCAACTAAGGAACGAGCGTTGCCAACTATCTCGGAAGTATCTGCGGATTTGTGAAGCTTTTACGGATCTCCCCGACGCGTAGCTGCATGAAGGCTACGGTCGATAATTCGAGTATCCAAGTATCAAAATTGGAGTAAGGAGGTGGAGAGCTCGAGGTCACCGGATGGAAGTGAAAAATGCTCTCATGGATACACTTTGGACTGGAAGTGGCTTCCTCCTTTTCTCCGTGCTTGTGATAAGTTAGTTGGTCCAACTGTTGTAGGAGTATTCATAATTTAAAAGCGGCGTAAGGAGAAAAAATCAGCACAAGTTCAGTGCAGCAATATAAGTTTTGGCAACCTTTGATAAAGATACATTCTTATCCTTATAGCAAAGGTGCATGTTGCAACTCTTGTAAGTTACAAGTTGTAACTTGCAAAAGTTCAGTTTGTTGCTTCATTGTTTTCAGCAACTTGGTGAGCTCAAGCTGAACTGGACGAGCAACACAGCGTTTTCACATCCTTATCACAAGTGACGACACATCACACAGACGATCCCGTGCCCGGAGTCGTAATGATCGAGCCACTTAAAAATATGGAAAAACGTACATTGGATTAACGATTATGTAAAGTAAAAAAAAAAGCAAGATGCATGTCAACTAGACGTCTGTCTTGACGCCCCACCACTCCAATAGAGTACACTGGGCATCTTGCCACAGCCTCGACAGTCAAATCTACGGCGCACTACCAGCAGGCGACTCGAACATTTGGTAGTTCGAGTGCGACTTTGCTCGCGAGCGACTGAAGTTCCTTGATCGCGCGCTGCCAGGAGTGCGAGCACTGCGACGAGACGCGCGGATACGACGCATACGCGCCCGTTCGGCCTCCATCTCGCCCTTGGTGCACACCATTCCGTTCTTGAGTGTCCCCACCGTGAACAGCAGCGCCATGGACACCACACAGCAGCCACTTAACGTGAACAAGTACAGATACTCGTCGCCACTCATCGACTCGTTGGAACGGATATATGTGGCACACACAGGCAACAGGAAGAACACCATAAAGTAGACCGTCACGTAGATCGCGCGTTGCTTGGTCGTGAACAGCCCGACGCACGACACCCAGGGCACCGACGTGATGCCGAGACCCGCAAAGAAATACAGCAACAAACCCACAATCTGAAGCATCAAGTACTCGCTGTCTCCAGTCACAAACTCCGACTTGTCGTTCAGTCCCAGCACGAACACCAGGCCGGCCATCGGCAACAAGGTGCAGAACAAGATGCGCTTGTGGTCGATCCGATCCATGAAGAAGAACGAAAACATGGCGCCCAGGAGCTGCAGCCCCATACAGTTGACGAACATGTAGGTCGCGTCTTCAATGCCGCGGAGCTTGTCCGACAGGTACATGTTGACACAGCCGAGAAAGATACTGGACACCAGCATGAGGAACAAACCCATGACGAACTTAAGGAACGACGTGCCGCCGCTCGCACTCGCGTCGTCACTACCCGCTTCTTCGTCGCGGATCATACGCAGCTCCTCGGACACGCCCTCTTTGCGTCGTAAGACCGCCAAGCAGCGCTCACACGACTCCAGACCTTCACGCATGTACACCCAGTACGGACTCTCCGGGAAAATGTAGACGGCGGGCGTCATGATCGACAGGATAATCGTCGCAATGAACACTTGCCACACCCAGCCCACTTCATTGGACGACGATGAGAACCACGCCGCGAATAGGATGCCAAGAATGAAGCCACTGCCCAGTAGAAGCAGCGCTTTGCCACGCATATCGCGCGTCGAAATCTCGTAGATGTACACGGCTAACGTAGGTAGAAGCACGCCCACCGAGCCTCCCAGCAAGCAGATACCAGGCATCAAGAAGCCCTCGCCGCCCGACTGCACTGCACTGACGCCCAGCATACCCAGAACCGTCAACAATCCACCGAGAACAATCGACAAGCGACGGCCGATAAAGTAGTTCAAGAAGCCGGCCACAAACGCGCCCACCATACACGCAAAGTAGAAGGCGTACGTGACCGATCCATCGCCCACATTCCCGTCCAGGAGATCGTACGTGGTCACGTAACTCAAGAAGCCCGCTGTGCTCTCTAGCGTCGTGAACAAGTGGAACAACCAACCACATCCCATACCTCCCAGCACGCCCATGAACGCAGCCAACGAGAACGCGTACTGTGACGACGCCGACACGACCTCCGAGAAACCCTTGTTGTACATCATACGCGTCTGGATAATGTTCAAAAACGGGATAGCCGACATGACGAGCAACGGGATGATCATGGCCACAGAGAACACAAAGTCGAAGAAGAACGCCAGCTGCTGGAACATGCCCACGGTGGCGATCGACGAGTTGGCGAAGCTGTACATACGCGCCATCTCGTTGATACCATACAGCGCTGCCATGTATCCGAAGAACAGCGAGATGGTTCGTGTAAAGCTCAAGTCGAAGATAGCGACCGTCATGACGAAGAACACGATCGTCGCTAGCGCCACTAAGCCCGTGTACATGATCGCACGAACCGAAGAGTTGACCGAGCGCATCGTGTTCCCGACCGCGCCAAAGAGTCCCATGGCGAGTACCGTGACCACCGCGGCGCCAAACACCAAGCCCACAGTCAAGATCTCCCACTCCAGCGCCACGACGTACCACATGAGCAAGAAGTGACGACACTCGCGCAGAATGACCGTGAACCGAGCAATCGGCCGCGTGTTGTGGTACAGTTTGAGCTCTCCTTTCCACCAGCCGATCCAGCCGCCCACCATCACCGTGTCTTCGTCCTGGTAATCTTCCGCCGCGTACATCCACTTGGCCCACGCCGTCACGTCCGCTTTCGTCTTCTCCCAGTCCAGTCCGTCCGTGTTGAAGATGTACGGAGACACGAGCCAGACCACAGCAATCACCCAGATCGCAAACGTCTGCACGCCAAAGCTCTGCGACGTCTGACAGTACTCAAACGCGAACGAGTTCTCTTCTCCGGCGACGTCCAAGTCGCAGATGTTGAACGTGCCGAACGCCAAGTACACGAGACACAAACCGATCAGCTCCATAGCCTTACGATAGTGACTCGGCGCGTACGCCTTGTACAGCAACACGAACGTCTCGCGCGTGATCTTGAAGCCACGTCCAGTCGCCTTGTACTGCGCTTCGCCATGCAGCAAATTATTGTCGAAGAAATGCATCGTCGTGCCCAGTTGGAAGATAAAGAACGCAGGACCCGCAGTAAACACCATCTCCAGGAACTGGACGAGACCACGACGCAGCCCCATCTCGGCAAAGTACACGCAGATCAGCGGCAGTGACAGGAACAGACCAGCTTGGATGTAGTACTGCGTGTTGTACACCGAGTCCATGTCCTTGTACACGCGGTCGTCGAAGCCGTACAGCTCCGAATTGTCCATGATCACCTGCGTCGTGTTCATGTTGTACACGATCTGCGTCTGCACGCCCGACAGCGCAATGTACACTTTACAGTACATGTACACAAACGTCGTCACGATCGTCATCCACGTGGCATAGTAGAAGCCCGTGTGCGAGTAATACATGGAGTTCAGGCGGAAAAAGTCCATGAACTGACCCATGCGATGCGCCTCACGCGCCAGCGACGTTTCTCCCGCTCCATTGGCCAATTTGCCTTCAAACATCGAGATCTGGGACAACGCCACGTCGCGGCCTTTACCACACTGCATGAACTCGACGTGCGTGACCACGCCGCCTCGTAGCGTACAGTTGAACCCAGCGAACACGTCCTCCGACAAGTTGATGCCCTTGGACGCCTTGGACACGCCTCCGCGTGTGATCGCCAGCACTTTATCGAACACATCCGGGTGGCCATAGTGCATACGCACGTACAGCGGGTCGGCCAGCACACGCTGCGACAGCGTCACGAACACGAGCTCCTGCCACGTCTTGAACTTGGCCAGAGAGCTGGCATTACCCGTGAAAATGTGCTCGCGCATGCCGATAATCGACACAGGCTTCTTGGACGGATGCAGGTCGGCCGTGCACAGCAGCTGAGGCATCTTCAGACACTCTTCAAAGTAATGTTGCTGGTTCATATCGATCGTCTGCACAAACTCTCCACGTGTGAATGGGATGGCGTTGTTCTGATTCTCCGGCTTGCCTTCTCCCAAGATAGGGTCTCCAGGGAGCGAGTAGCGGTACACTTCGACGATCTCGTCGGCTTCGCTCTTGATCAGCACCGTGTCGAACGATTTCTCGCCGTCTTGGTGCTCCACCGTGTCCACATACGCCACACGCAAGTTCGGGTATTCCCGCAGCAAGTAGTCGATGTCTGCCGCTTGCGTTTTGCCCTCTGCGCGGTGCTTACCGTATACTTGACACGCACAGATGTACGAGAACTTGAGCCGCACCATGTCTTGCAACTGGCTCTGCTTCTGCTCCGCCGACTTGCCTGGACTCGAGCCGATCTCCAGCCAATGCAAGATCTTGATCGCGTCCTCGTACATCATCATACCTTGCACGGTACGCGCCAACGTCTGGCCGCGATACGAGGCCCACAAACGGATCTCTTCCGGGTGGTTCTTCTGCGCTTCCTCGGCCGAGCTCACGTCCACACGCTCCAGGAAATTATCCCATTCTTCTTGATGAATTTTAGTCAGATACTTGAGGATCGTCAGGTTCTTGCCGTCCTCCTCGACCTGCTGGAAGATCGGGTGGTTCACCAGCGGATCGTTCAAGTCTTTGAGCGAGAACAACACCGTCTCGGCGTAGAACGGCGTGACGACCGAGAAGCTGCGCATCTCCTTGATAGAGCGCAGTTGCGGGATGTCCATGACCAACGACTTCATGAAGAATCCCAGACGACGCTGCGCCTCGGTGGTGCGCGGCATGGCCTCGGAGCGGTCCAGCGACAGCAGCAGACACGCGCGTGTGGCTGCCCCCATGGCCGTGTCACTACAGAACAAGTTGACGAGTCCGCGAGATGCAAACATGTAGCCATTGGCACTGGAACAGAACTTCGAGTTGCTGAATTTGCGTTGCAGCGCCGGATCCACGCAAAACGACTGCACGCCGTTGAGAAACGCCTCCATCTTGGCTACAAAGTTGCGAATCACACCCATCGAGTGCACGCGTGCATCGGGAATGTGTTGCGACTGCGCGTCCGGGTCGGGCAAGTCCAGAATCTCCTCCAGAAGATCCACTGCCGCCACACGAAGACTAGCCAGCTCACGGACGTTGAACGACTTGAGGAACCCTCCACTGGACGCGATCTCCTCCATCATACGGAAGCCGTCCACCACGTCGGCGTCGTCGTTGCCGAACAACGCAGTGATCACGTACATGCTGGCTGTAAAGAACGACCGGATGGCTGACAGACAGTCATTCTCCACTAGCGTGACACGCAGTTGCGACTCTCCTTTGCCGTCTTTTGCCGTCTTGATAGCCAGCCCCATCGCCTCTGTCAGTTTGCCAGCAGACAGGAATACAGGCTCAAACACTTCGCCAGTGCTACGGATATCATACTGCAGAATGGCTGCCTCTTTATCGTCCAATAGATCGCCTTCACGGAAGGAATTGACGATCTCATTCCACACGACCACAAAGCGCAGCATCATCTGCGATTCGTAAGCTGCAGCGAGCGCACTGGCACGTGTCGAGTCGGTACCGCTAGCTGTGGCATCACTAGAGTGCGCAAGAAGCGTGACCACCTTCTGGTCGAACAACTGCGGAGCCACACGAAACGCCTTGGTCATCTCCTTCGCTCCACGGATCTCCCCCGTCTTCATGAGGATGCCCTGGAAGCCACCGAGTAAAGCTTGGAAGACAGTGAAGTAAATCTGCGTGGCGTAGTTGAAAATAAACACCACAGGAAGCCACAGGGCGATGATTATGCCAATATTGTGGAAAGACACCAGCGAGTTCTGGTAGTCCAGAGTCATGTCGTAGATACTCAACGTCGGTAGGATCAACGGACGCACCAGGATAAAGTACGACGTGATGGCCTCCACGACCCACAGCAGCAGCCAGAACACAATGTACTTGACTCGGAACGAGAAGGGCGGCGTCATGTCTTGACCCACATAGCAACTTTCCCCCTCACGCACAAACTTTGCGGCAAATGTGCCATTAATAACTTGCGGTGCAAAGGCTTGCGTCAGCAACACCAGCAACCCGGGGAGAATGTACGCGCCACACAATGGGTACAAATTATCCAGCAACGTCGTGTCTTTGTTCTCATTCAGAGGCACGTAGATCGTGATGCCAAACAAGATGGCAAAGCCTCCGTTCCAAAGGATACGAGTGGCCAACGCCGTCCCGTATGTGAAAGAGCGCGAGCTGGTGGCCGAGCTCTCCTTGGAAATCAGCAAATGCCAACCGTGGCAAACTTCCATGACGCACTTGAGAAAGGCCATCAGACTGAGACTGAAAGGGATGGCAACAGCGGCAATTTTCAAGTCGCGAGTGGTATATGGCTCCACGACGTCGCCAATGTGCCCGAACTGAGCCCACCCACTTTTGCCGCCATCTGGGGAGATGGTGACGGCAAATGCCAAAACCGTCAAGAGCACCAGAAACATCATGTTGAACTGAAAAATACGGTAGTAGTTCAGTATCAGCGTGAGGAAACTGCGGTGTTCGTAAAACGTCTTGCCGTGGTTTTGCGTCAGCTCCTTCCCCACGTGCGCCACGGGGATGCTGAGACAATGTTGCTTCCAGAAATACTCGTTTATGTCGTCGTAGTTGCGGATTTTCACGTGCTCCAAGGGTTTCCCCAAAGCGTTGCGACGCTTCATGTTGCTGGCCTCGCGCCAAATGGGGCGGATCACCTGATCGAGGTACCAGCCTTCGGGTTGTTGCTCGTGCCCCTGTGGGTCGGCGTTGACCAGGGTCAGCATCTGATGATGCAAATAACAGACGCACTCTGGAATGTGTCGCACATTTGCCGCTTCACCCCAAATAAGGAAATAAAGCATCACGTCCATATGCAAATTGCCAGACGGTGTCGAGTGCGGAATGCCACTGCCAGAATACGTCACCGGACTCGTGTGGATAAATTTGCACCACGATCGGTAGTTGCTGAAAAGCTTATTGGCCAATTGGACAAGGTGATGGTCCGCCGGGTCGCTCGGCAGACAACGCGCCTTGCCATTCGCCAACAGTAGCAGCACGTGCTCGCGCTGGTTGCTCACGGATCCCTCTTGGAACCCGAACTTAGTCTTGAGGAACTCGCAACAGTAGTCTACGGCCGCCTCGTCATCCTGTGTGGCGCCCTTGAAGCTCGCGGGCGTCACATCCATCGTGTTCATGCGCTTACTGAAGCGCTCTGAGCGCTCTGACTTGTTGCGGCGCCGATCGGCATCCAGCTCGAAGTAATTGGAGCTGGCGCGCCGGCGTCGGTCCATCTCGCCATGTCCCGAAGGTCCGCGCTGTGCCATGGCAATTGTTTGTCAGTTGCCGAAGCACTTGTATCTTTTCGGACCTGTGTGGAAAAGGTTGCCGAAATACCCACGCGGGGGTTGGAAAGTGGTGTTAAAGCGACAGGGGGTTAGACACTAAACACGCTCCGATGCCAACAGTGCCTTCCTCTCTTCGCTGGGGGTTTTCCCGTTGTGACGGCACTGTTGGCCCGGGCGTGCGAAAGAGGGAGAAGGCGGCTGTCAAATCACTGGGCTCCAATATGGAAACGGTCACAGAAATATTCAGCGCTGGTGTCCAGAGCCAGGCCAGGATGCTTTTCGACCAATAAAATCGTGCGAGACAACCCACCACGTATTGGTTTTCCGCCCCTCCATGCACGCCAAACACCCTGCACTCTGAAAGGATCAAAATTGCGGCATGCTGCGGCAGTGATGCTTGTATTTAGAGGTACAGCCAGTGGCTGAACGTGTGTGTGTAGTAGCGAAGGCTAATTTCGTGCTGGATAGACTCCCGGAGCCACGTTGGACAAGCGACCGTATCGTCAATCGATCATTGGCTAAAACGCACAAGATCGCTTTTGGTTGGTCAAAAGCTGGCCGGATTTTTTTGAGAAATTTGGGAATTTGATTGATGGGTTCAATTTTAGTTTTGCCTGAGCTTTCCGCTCTCTACATCATGCTTTCTTTCTACCTAATCGCAAACTGCATGGGGCAAAACCTCAGTACAAATACACTCGATGCACCGCTAGACTCAAGCCTATTATTGAGAGCTGCTTGACGATGCCCCCAACTGGCCTGAGGATGATATCTCGGGAGTCTGTGATATCTCCCAATCTGAAGCGATCGGCTCTCGCTCGATTGATCTGGTGCAATTGGCTACAATGACAAATCAAGACGCAAGTGAGCCATGTTGTTTTGCAATGGAACCTCAGCCTGTCGCTCAGCTGCACTTTTGGCCAAAGTATCCGCTGAATTTCAGCCTGAAATTGTCAGCCCGGCATAAACAATGTGAGCCTATGCCATAGGTACCTGCTCGATGACAAGCATGGGCCGATTGATAATAATGTTATCGCCAGAAACGAATACGTTGGCGCCACATCTTTAGAGGCGGGACTGGCGTCGCACGAGCTCGGAATTGCAAACTTCGGGCAAAGCGATCGACGTTTCGACAGCGCTGAGAATCAAAAGTTTGGTCGCTCTGTGAAGCGTGAAAATACGCAAACATCACACTTCATGGTGAAGCAATTCTGCAAACGCTTACGTATGTTAGTACCGGAATGGGACGGAGTGATTCAAACGGTGGCATTTTTAGTGAGTCGTTGAGATGGGTAGCGACGGCTCATTTAGTGCGATTCAGTTTGCAGGAAATGGCTACACTCTCATGTAGCTATTTCTAAAAATAATCACACTTACATTAACTTCAGAAATAGAAGCAAATGTTTCAACCGCCGATCGCTTGTCGAAAGCCAATAAGGATACTTTTAAGTTAAGCTTATATAATACCTCCATTGCTGATTCTTCACGGTATAACGTTAATTTGTAAGGTAGAAACGAACGCATCGCTGTCAGCACCAACGAGCATTCACGTCGGCCATACAGTACTAATGATGTCGCTTAGCTGCTGCCTCTGCCTTTTTGTCTTCCTTTATCTTTGCTATTCGCATTTTACCTCGTTGCCGGTTGCCCAGTATAATAATACATCACGGACGTGGGACATCATCTAACATGTCGGTGGACAAGCCTACACTTCCCAGGCCAGAACGTGACCTACGCCCCACTCGCGAAGCTAAGACAGTCAGACAGGTTTGCATCTTCCATTTCTAACAAATGTATTATCGGCGGATCAGTGGACAATAACGGTGTTCGAAACGGAGATCGACATTGGCGTTTGCATTCCTCTGCTATCCGAGCGATCGATCTGATCAACGTCCAAGCATCCTGCAAAACAATTTTCAACTCGTTGTGTTTCTCCACTCATTCTTCGATTCTCACGACTCCAGACACTTGCCTCTTCTCAACAATCAACCTCCAGCAGCATCATGGTCAAGCTGATATCAGCCATCGTCACGGCAATGGCTGCAGTAGTGGTTATCGCCCAAGACGCTTCCGAGTCGCGGTCTCTAGTGACCACGCACTCTGCGGGCGATGAGCCGTCCCCACCCCACGATTTCAGCCGGGACTTCGCTCCACCTGCCGGTAGTAAACAAGGTGATAACCCCCACGGAGGACACCACCACCACCCACCTCATTATGCAGGAAGTGGTGATCAACAATTCAATGGAAGCGACGATGGCGGTCTACGCCGGAACAGCAGTGGAAGCTTTGGGGGTCGCTTCCCTCATCCTCCAAAAGTCGGTGAAATGCCGGGTCATGGTGCGTTCCACAAGGATAACGACACCGCTTTTGGCCACGATGGCCATCTTCGTGGTAACGGCATGCCCAAAGATAAATTGGCGGGGAGAGACCTACACAACAAAACTTCAGGACACCACCACCCCGGCACGCCACCTCGTGGCAGTGATGCTGGATCGAGACATGATAATGGTAGTGGTGGCTGGCAATTTCCTCCTCCGCCGAATGCCGGAGAAAAGCCTTCGACCCCACGCAACGGAAAGCCACCGAAAAATGAGGGCACACCAGGTGACTACCCTCCACCAGGCACCAATTCTGGAAGCGAATAACTGAAGTTTCCCAGTGGAGAGGCCTCAACACAAGCCAAACACGAGGGGGCATTGATACTGTACCAAGTGTATACCCGAGGAAGATTCATCGCACACGCAGGAACATCATCACAAACCTATCGCCTTATAACAAGAATTGCATATTATAGCACACCATAAAACATTTTTTTTTCGGAGAGATAGCTGGCGAACCTGGTTGTACTGTTCAACCTTATCATAACAAAAAAAGCTCATCGTCGAATAAATACGCACAGCGAGCACCTTGTGATGATAAGCTTCAGGCTCGCTCTTTCTGCTTGGGGACAATAGCAGCCTTTATCACATAATTACTTGGCAAAGTCTCCGCTCGACACACAAGTTGACTGACGAAAAATGCGTGTACTGTGATGCTAGTGGCATCGCTGTTGCCTCTGCATCGCCGGTGATTCCAATTGACAGTGACATTTGCCTTCCGTACCGACAAGATTTCAATGTCGACACACCTACTTCATCCCTGCTATTCTGTGCGTATTCTATCCCAATTTTTTTTTGTGGATTTGACGAACCCATTTCTTCCCAAGATCAAGTGCGTGGTTCGTAGATTCGACGTAAAAACAACTTTAGAGGTTGAAGGAAGGCTTCTTCAGAAGATGGGTTATTGTCACGGACATTACCGTGAAGTTAATTTGTCGAAGACTAAATTTGGACATTGTGGAGATGCACGACACAGTCAAGTACAAGGAAGATACGTTCGGGTTACGCTCCGCGGGTGTGTGCGTGTGGGGGGGGGCTTTATACAGCTCCGTGTGCTCCTCATTGTTGTTAGCTGTACGACGGGTGCTAATTATAATCTGTTGTTCTAGCATTGTTCACCTGTTATGTAACGGGGTACGTAGCACTAAGTGTACCCTGGTTACATGAAGTGTGACACTTCACACTTCAGGAGTATGACATGTCATACTCCGGGATATTTGGTACAAGGTACCAAGGTCATTCAAAACCAACCATTGGTTAAATGACATTGCATTTCTATAGGTAACTGATAGTTTGTATTAACCACAAACTTAACCTACCTATAAATATACTCAGTTTACAATCTACCTTATTTAGGTCACTTCGCTCTCTTTAATTAAAGAGGGGACCTGTGAACTGCCGTTCACTGAGAGTTTGTATACTCTCGGAAGATAACTTCCTCTAGCGCAAGGTGCTGTGTGACCCCGTCACACTTGGTAGCACTTGTAGTCAATCCACGCCATCGCGGGTAGACTACCTGAACCTCCGAAGTTCGTTGCCATGGATAGGAACGACTTCTCCCATATGAACGACTCTCAGTTCGAGTCGGTTCGGAAGATGGCAGGCATCTTCGGGATGGAGGCCCTGCAGAGCCTGGTGGTATCAACACCGGCTGAGCAGCTCGAGCGCGTCAATGCATTCGACGCGTACGAGCAGGGCCTCATCGCGCATGTGCGGGAGAACCTGCAGGCTCCGGCGGCGGAAGCAAATCCGCCTCACCCGAAGCCAATACGGCTGAAGGTAAAGCCGTATGAAAAGAAGGAAGGCGAGAACCTTCACTTCTGGGTCCGAAAGTAGAGCTCGCGATGGACGCGGCTCTGATCTCGACCGAGCAACTGCGTGTTGCTTTTGCACTCTCCAACCTTAGCGGTCGTGCTAAGAGTTGGGTGTACACTCGGGAAGCGACATCCCCTGGATGTTTCACATCCTGGGCTCAGCTGTGCGAACAGCTCCGAGCCGCGTTCCTCCCGGCGAACTACGAGTACCGCCAGCGTTCGCGCTTCCTCGCGTGTAAACAAGGAAGACGCGAACTGCACGAGTATGTGCAAGAGATACGGGAGCTCACGGCGTCCCTAGTGGGAAACCCACTCAATGAACACATCAAGATGACTGTGTTCATGGACGGCCTTCGAGTGGGCCCCGCACGCACTCAGCTGTTCCGGGTGCAGGCAAGCACCCTTGAAGAGGCGATTCAAGTGGCTCTTCAAGAAGAATACAGCCATCGCCAGGCGCGTACGCCGGCCTCAGCGTGGCCTGGGAGTTCCTTGTCGGCTCCCGGTCGAACAAGCCCCAACGGACCAGTTCCCATGGAACTCGGGTCCGCCGAACAGCGTGACATCCGCTGCTTCGGCTGTGGGAAGATGGGCCACTTCAAGCGCGACTGTCCCGCGGAAAGACTCCGCAGACGGTCCTTCCCCAAGCCCGTCCTCAAGGGTCGCTGGCAGAAGCCAGGATCCCGGGGACAGGGGAACGCAGGGAACCAGTAGGGGCGGGGCGCCCTACTGGGGAAGAACTAAGTCTTCGTGATGGGTGCGCGGGTGGCGCGTACCACGGGGACTTAGCCCCTGAGAGTCTTCGCACTCTCGAATCGGCGAAGAGCAGCGGCGGGTTGCTCGTAGTACACGGATGTGTACGGGGGTACGATCACCCCTTTAGAATCTTGATTGACTCTGGGGCGTCGAAGAATTTCGCACGCCGCCAGACGGTTGCTCGTAACAGCAACAAGTTGTCCGAAGCTTTGCGAGAAAGCAAGGGCAACGGGACGGTGTCAGTGCGACTGGCCGACGGGAAGGTCGTCACTGTCCCCAACGTCCAAGTGGATCTGGCTGTCAAGTTTGAAGACTTTGACGGCCTCGAACAGTTCACTGTTCTCGATATGGATCCATATGATATGATCCTGGGCATGCCCTGGCTTGAGAAGCACGAGCCCTGGATCGACTGGCGAGGCAAGGCAATCGGTGCCAGCCGCCCTGCGCAGTCCGACAGAGCATTGGTGAGTCATGTTCCCACCTCTGTCAGGACCCGGGGCGCCCGCGAGGGCTGCCAGGGTACCAAAGCATCCGGCAGATGCTTGGGAGTCGTCGACGTATATGACGACTCCGAGGATGTTTTGATGGTGGCCGCGCCCAGAAGAGGCGCCGGCCAAGTGGGTAACTTAGGTCCACAGGCGGGTAACTTAGTTCCGCAGACAGCTGCAGCTGTCATGAGCACTGAGAACAGCGTGTTCAGAGTGGGTAACAGAGTTCCACTCACGGTCGCCCAGGCCATAACTGAAGAGGAAGACGTCGGATACGCTTCCTGTGTGGGTAACACAGTGCCACACGCGGTCGCCCAGACCTTAACTGAAAAGAAAGGCGTTGAACACGCTTCCTGTGTGGGTACAACAGTACCACACGAGGCCACGAGTGCCTCGGATGTCGTAGCGACGACATCCCTAGACGTGGGCAGCAAAGCTCCCCGTCACAGAAGCCGTCGGCAAAGACGCCGCCGCCGCCTCAAGTCGGATCCGAACTTCGTTCCGATCGACGTCGCTTCAAGCGACTCGGAGTCCAGGGCCCGGGCTCCTCCGACAAGGCCGGTGGAAGAGTGCTATCACATCTTCGATAGCGAGACGGGTTTACCCGTCAAGGCATCTAATGTCCACTTGGAACAGTTGCCAGAGGTTGCAGAGATACTGAACCTCGAGGAAATGACGGCTGAGTCTTTCCTGGCCAACCTCAAGGCTGGAGAGATCGCTGAGATGGTACTCATAAGACCTGAGACCACTCAGGAGGAGCTGAACTCCTCCTCTGTCTTGGACGAGAACGTCCTGGAAGACATGAACAAGCAGCGTCAGGCGCGCTTGGGTTCTGAGATTCTCAAGAACCCCAAGGTTCCGGTGTATCCTTTGGTGACGGAGTATGCGGACGTGGTGAATAAACACCCACCGACCCAGCTCCCACCGGATCGAGGCGTACGGCACGAGATTGATCTCGTGCCCGGCACAAAGTATTGTGTCACGAGGCAATGGCCTCTCCCGCGCGAACAGTGCGAGGTCATTGATGCCTTCTTCGCCGCGAAAGCGAAGGCAGGCATGGTGCGGGAGTCGAAATCCCCGCACTCGACGCCGACTTTCTGCGTTCGTAAGCCGAACGGAAAGTGGCGTCTGGTTCACGCTTATAACAAGCTGAACAACGCAACGGTGCCGGCCCAAACACCGATCCCACGAAAGGATGTGTTGTTGAACAACATGGCCGGGAGCGTACTGTACAGTGCGCTGGATTTGGTAGACGGATACTACCAAATCCTGATGCGAGAGAGTGACATCCCGCTCACCGCGGTAAGCACTCCAAGCGGCATGCTTTGGGAGTGGCTCGTCATGCCGCAGGGCTTGTCTAACGCCCCGGCGACGTTCAATCGCCTGGTGACGCAATTGTTCCGCCCTTTGCGTACCTTCGTACAGACGTACTTCGACGACATTTTCGTCCATAGCCGTGCCGAGGGAGGCAAGACGGCCATGGAGGTGCATCTAGGACACCTCCGTCGAGTGTTGGACGTGATGCGAGCGAACAAGCTCTACGCCAACATCGACAAGTGCGTTTTCGCGTCACCAGAGATCAAAGTTCTCGGTTGCTTCGTAAGCAACGTGGGCGTTCGGGCTGACCCAGACAAGGTCAAGGCCATAGCAGCATGGCCGACGCCCCGATCCCAGAAGGATCTTCGAAAGTGGTTGGGTTTGGCCAACTACCTTCACAAGTACAGCGCTGGGTACGCGGGCTTCGCTAAGCCTTTGTCGAGCCTCCTTCAGAAGGACGTCGACTGGCGCTGGGAACAAGAGCACCAGGATGCTTTTGACAGCATCAAGGCCAGTCTCCAAGAGGCCCCTGTCCTGGCTCTGCCGGACGAGACGAAGCCGTTTAGCGTCGTATGCGATGCCTCCGATTACGCCATCGGGTGTGCATTGCTGCAGGACGACACGGCTGGACAGGAACGAGTCATCTCGCTCCAGTCCCGGCAGCTCAAAGCCGCCGAGCGGAACTACCCTGTCCATGACAAGGAGCTCCTGGCAATGAAATATGCCCTTGTGAAGTTCCGTGTTCACCTTCTGGGCTCTAGGCCCTTTGTGATCTACACAGACCACGCGTCCTTGAGGACGGCGACTAACGCGCCTCACCCCTCCCAAAGGATGGCGAGGTGGCTGTCCTTCTTCGCGGAATACAACTTCCGCGTCGAATACAAGCCGGGCAAGC